CCCCTCTCCCGCCGATATTTGGGTTTAACTACGCAATAATAATAAATAATATTGGCCAACATGCCATGCCATCTTTCGTATTACTACATTCTATTCTTGAGTGCAGGGGTCCACATAGGCTCCTGGTTTTACACACACATGCCCCCCCTCTACACCCCCGCGAACCCGTGCACCACCGCGTCATTAAATGCGAGTTCTATTCCTCGCTGTCCGACGTGTCCGCTTGAGGAACTAGCGCGTCCTCGGGTGCCCGGATAACCCTTCGTTCACCGGCGCGCTCATCTTCCTCCTTCTTCTTCATGACCCTTTCACAGAAGGTCATGAAGACGGTCCAAACGTTTCCTGAGAGCATAATGGCCCTCACCATCGCCTCATAGGTCCTATCGACCCCTATTACATCTAAAATCTCTCCTCTCTGTTCTACCCAGGCCGGACAGAACAGGAGGGTGTGCACCGACGTATCCGCTGTTGCGTGGTAACAAAAACAAATTGGGGAAACCCAACTTCCTATCTTGAAAAGATAGAACTCAAACACTCCATGTCCGGTCAAAACCTGAGTGGTGCGGTAGGTGAGAGCCCCATGCCCCCTCTCTACCCACCTCTCCAGGTGCTCCGCTATAGCGCCGCGCACTAGCGCCCCGGGACCGCTCGCAGGTAACTCTAATAGTCGCTCGCGCCATCTCCAGAGCGAACGCTGACGCTCTACTTTTATTATATTGTCCCTTTCGCGGGGGCGAGACACCCCATTTTCGGTAATGATCTGCCGTCGCCGGAGATACGACCTTCTTAATCTATCCGCCTCAAGGTCGAAAGGGAACATCCTGGATAATATGGCCGCCGCATCGTGAGATATGGTACGATACCCTCTCACCGTTCTCAAGGCCAGCTGTCGCTACAGTTTCCTAACTTTGTTGGAAATCCAACGATCTTTTGCCGCGGTGTTCGCCCATATTGGCGCCCCGTACATAACAACGGCCATCGCCGCGGTCGCGTACATCCTCCTGCGCGTTTCTCCAGGTCCGCCAATATTGGCGGTACTAATTCTGACCAATGCCATCGCCATCCTCCATGCCTTAGGCATGACAAGCCAGAAATGGTCCCGGAAGGTCCACCGCGAATCCAAGGTCAAGCCCAGGTATTTCACGGTGGACCCAATCGGGATCACCTCCCCTCCCATCCTCAGGGTCGCATTCGCAGGAATCCTACCTGTAGTGAATACTGAGATCTCGGTCTTTGGTACCGAGACTCTCAGTCCCAACCTCTCTATCTCGCGAACCAGATACGCAGCCCCCAACTCCGCTCTAATTCTCGCCTCGTCGAATGTACTTGCCCTAATAACCAGTAGAGTATCATCCGCGTAACATATAGTCGTACATCCTACTGGAAGACTAAGTCTCAGGATAGCATCATAACCTATGTTCCACAGTATTGGTCCTAAGACCGAACCCTGTGGAACCCCACATGTGATTGGCTTGCGCTTATAGCAGTCCCTCCTATCAATGAAAGACAGGTCCCTATCCGCCAGATAGTCGCCAAGGATAGCCCGGAGATAACCCGGCACGTCTTTTTCCTGGAGCGCCTCCCTTATAGTTGGCCACGGGAGGGTGTTGAAGGCGTTCGCTATATCTAGCGATACCACCATCACCACCCCTCCGTCTCGCAGGCCCTCGTCTACGCTCTCGCGCAACTTCCATATTGCATCAACCGTGGAGCGATGCTTCCTGAACCCAAATTGACATTCCGCAATACCTTCGGTCCGCTCTAAAAATATACTTAATCTACTTACAATTATACGCTCGAACATTTTCCCCGCCTCATTCAATAAACATATCGGTCTATATGTGGACGGGGCTAAGTCCGGTTTGCCCGGCTTTTTTAAGAGTACAAGTCGGGAGATTTTCCACTGCCGGGGAAAGTACCCCTCCTTGAAACACGCCGTGAAGCACTTCACCCAGAGAAGGATGAGCTGACTCGTACCCTTCACGATGCATCCAGGTATGCCATCCGGTCCAGGAGCCTTACCGGTTTTGATGCCGGCACAGGCCTCCATCACCTCCTCGTGTGTCACCGCGAGTTCATCCTGCCACTCTGTTATCGTCTCGTTGTTATGAGATACATTTCCAACTGGGAACAATGCAGCAACTATCTCGTCCGTGACATCCGGTGGTAAAGTCTCAACGATAGAGGCACCGCCGGCCGACAGCTTCTTGGTGACTAATCTATAGGGCATTTCCCATGGATCCCTATCAAGGTCATTCACCAACTCCTTCCATAATTTAGCCTTGGATTTGCTAATGGCCCTCCTAAGGTCTCGTCTGGCCTCCCTTAAGCCGTCCCACAGTAATCTAACGTCTTCTAGACGAACGTGTCTTCTCGCTCTCGTGAGTCTTCTTCTCCATGAATTGCAGGAACGTCGAAGCTCCGCGATCTCCTCATTCCACCAATACACTAATGGACGTCTAGAGGAACCCTTCCTTGCCATTGCGACGTCCGAGATATCCCGCAAGATCTCGTCCATCCTCCTGGCGCTCCGGGTGCCGTCCTCTTGCACTTCATCCCACGCTGAGAACACCACTGCCGCCTCCATCATCTCCTGGTCGATGCGCCGCGTGACTCATCGGGAATCTCTTCAGCACCGTCCTTCCTATCTCCGTGCCCGTAAGCGAGGCCCCAACATCCATCAGGATGTACCGGTGGTCCGATAGGGACTCCAACTCAGTCGCGACACGCCAGCCAGTAATCTTCCTGGCTGCGGTTGATGTTGCCATCGTGACATCCACGGAAGATGTTCCACGAGGATGCACACACGTGGGCTCACCCCTGATGTTAATGAGCTGAAGTCGTCTCATTCCCATCCAACCCAGAAGGATGTCTCCCCTCCTGTTCGGTCGTCCCGAATCCCAGGCCTGCGCTCTGGCATTGAAGTCTCCCGCTATTATCGTTGGATGGCCCCTCCGAAGCACCTCCCGTAACTTGTCGTCCATCTCATCCAGGTCGTGAACGAATTCCGCATAACTGAGGCTGGGAGGGAAGTAGCACGAAACCACCGTCACGTCCCCCCAGTCCACGGCCACAAACCTCCCTCCTCTACATCGGGGCACACACGGTATCCTAGTACCACCCCAGTGCCACGTTATCGCTGCGGACGGTGGTTCATCCGTGGAAGCGAACCATTTGTCGCCATCCAGTATGCGAGCGGGTTCCGCCACTACCACTAGTCCAACATCCATCTCCTCGGAGACCTTACCTATGAAGTCCTGCGAGGGCCTCGATCTATTAACATTAATTTGCGCTAACTTGGCCATCACAAATCTCCATATCACCCTCTGCTCCAGCAGACCCGGAAGCCAGGGCCCCCCGATCGGCCCCTTCAGTCACTTCCCCAGATCCTACCGCACTGGGTTCCTCATTAAGAAGTATCTGTCCCCTGCCATTATATGACACGCACGACACTGATCCCGCTCGATGATTCGCGTTTATCCCCCTCGCGGCACACACTGGACACTTTGGCGCGGATCGGCACCCA